CCACTTATTCCCCACATCCTGTGCTTATCTAGCCTATGAATGCATGAACTAACCTGTATTTATAGACCACAATTCAGAAAAGTACTTAGGCATGTGCTTAAATGTATCTTTGTTCAGAGAAAAGTAATAATTTTCTAGATCCAAGTCCACTTGGGCATAACATTTCTCTATGCACTTCTATGACCTTTAAAAATGAATGTGTCAGACTCCCACAATTATTCACAATAGAAGTGCTCTGAGGATACATTTTAAGGAGGAAAATATTGTTCCTCTTTCACAGATAGAAAACTAAGGAAGCGTGGCAATGCTGGGGTTGCAAACACAGCATGCCAATTTTTATTTTACACCCATCCCAAATCAAAGTCAGTTTTCACTTGATTTAATTTTGACTTTTAACAATACAAAAAGAAGAGGGCTACACTCTATTTCTAAATGACATCAAAGCATAAAATGACAGAGCTATTTTTTAAAAATTAGAACTTGTCATGAAATATACAAATACATTCTTTGTTAAACAAAATTACTGAACTCTATTCCCATCATTCCACTTAAGACAATAATTTACCTTAAAAGTTACTTGTAAATCAGTTTGTGTGTACCTTATTTTTCTGAGTAGCTAAAAATGTGTATTAATATTAAAAAGCTGTTCTCAAAAACTGAATGACATGGAGTAAATTCTCCAGGTGATTCCTACATATTTAGCCACACAAGGACATTAACATGCCTGAAACTTACAAAATTATATTCTCACACATTAATTTTAAAAACCTATGAGTAAGTGATTAATATGACTTCTCAGTTCTGAAACAGGGTCATCACTTCTCTCAGGATCTTTAAGTGAGGAAGGTATGAAGAGTCCTAGTGGACTCCAAGATGAATATGAGTCGTCAGTGTGACAAAGTCATCAGCAAAGCTAACTGCACTTTATCATGCATCAGCAGATGCATGACAAACAACCAAGGAGGTGATACTTCCCCTCTATTGGGTGCTGGTCAGACCGCAGTTGGAATACTGTGTGCAGTTTTGGCCGCCGCACTTCAAGAGGGATGTGGATAACCTGGAGAGGGTCCAGAAAAGGGCCACTCGTATGGTTAAGGGCTTGCAGGCCAAGCCCTATGAGGAGAGACTGGGGCACCTGGACCTCTTCAGCCTCTGCAAGAGAAGGTTGAGAGGCAACCTTGTGGCTGCCCATAAATTCAGTATGGGGGCGCAGAAGGGAATTGGTGAGGCTCTACTCACCAAGGTGCCCCTGGGGGCTACAAGAAATAATGGCCATAAGCTAGCAGAGAGCAGATATAGACTAGACATTAGGAAGAACTTCTTCCCAGTTAAGAGCGGCCGAAATCTGGAATGGGCTCCCAAGGGAGGTGGTGCTCTCCCCTACCCTGGGGGTATTCAAGAGGAGGTTAGATAGGCATCTGGTTGGAGTCATCTGAACCCAGCACACTTTCCTGCCTATGCAAGGGGTCGGACTCGATGATCTATTGAGATACCTTCCAATCCTAACATCTATGAATCTATAAGTAAATCTAGCTTCTCATGTAATTTTTAAGTTCAGCTCTTTCTTTAAATATAAGTATATTAGTAGTCATTGCATTTGGAAGAACTCTCAAAGATGTAACTTTTTCAGGGCTTTTATAAAAAGAAAATGTATTTTCTTAAGAAAAAAATCTTTCAGGATTCATATGAATAATTTAATAAAAATCTATGCAGTACCAAGGAGGGAGTCCAGATTAAATAAAATAACAGTGTATAAAAAGCATCACAGACAGATCCTCACTTAGTGTAAGCTGTCATGGCTCCACTCAAGTCAACAGAGGTCTAATAAGTTAAATCATCTGTGAATCTGCCCTTCAGTTATCCAAGGACCATTCTCAAAACATAACAAGAGAAAAATCTTATTTCCCTCCTATCTTGTGCTCTTCTTTTCAAATGCCATTTTGGTTGGAGTATTCTCATATCATAGTAAAGAACCACTATTAAAATACAGTCTTACTATTCTGTTTTGTTTTTGGATGTGAAACACCCTTTGGCCAAGTACACACTGTCAAAAAGCCCAAGGCTGAACCATTTTAATCTTTGCCAATTAATCTAAGCTGCATACATTAAACTGATAAGCAACGAATTCACTTGATTCCAGAAATGCAGTCACATGCCTGCAGTGGCCCAGGCCAGAAGCTGGAGGGTGCTAGGGCATGCCTTCCTGCTCAACTGGAACAGTTATCTTGGGCCAAGGCTAGTCTGTCCACCCTGAAAGGACATTTTGCAGGAGAGGTGCAAAGCATCCTGGGATGCTGGGGACTGTGAATTAACTAGAATCTGGAGGGGATCTGGGACAGAAGTTCAATAAACCAATTTAAACTAAATCAGTTACCTACATCCATCCAGGTTTATCTTAAATTGGTTTCTGATCACTTGTACTAGTTTATATATAATTTCTGTCCCTAGCCTTTGTGTATGTCTTGTTCAAACAACCAATCAAATTTCATGATTAGACTGCTCAGGTTGAAACCTGCCAAAACAGCAAAATTACACCATACTGCTGAATTACTACAGTACCATTATTACCAAACCAACTAAACTAATAGTGTGTGAGGTGTTGTAAAAGCTGCATGTCAATCTAGCCACAGGCAATGACCTTGTGAGGGGGCTGCGGGTGCTCAACCACCTCGGTGACAGCGATCAAAGCCTGCTGGAATTCACCATCCAGTGCAAGGTGGCAAAAGCCTACAGCAAGGCAGCAGCCCTGGACTTCAGGAGGGTGGATTTCAATGAGGTAAGAAGAATTGTTGGGGAAATACTGAGGTCCCAGAGGGGAGGGGAGTTGGGTGTCCAAAAAGAGTCGTCGTTCCTTAAGGAGACGATCCTCCAAGCCCAAAGGGGGGTAATCCCAACAAGGATCAAAGCGGGCAAGAGGGCGCAAAAGCCCCCATGGCTCACCAAAAGCATACGGGAATGTCTCCTGGCTAAAAGGGAGGTGTACACCCAATGGAAGGGAGGGGCCATCACCAGGGAGGACTATACCTCGGTTGCAGAGGGCTGCAGGGGGGTGGTCAGGAAGGACAAGGCGGAGATAGAACTGGGACTAGCTACCCAGATCAAGGACAACAAGAAGTCCTTTTTTAAATACATAGGGGGCAAAAAGAAGGTACCGGGTAACGTGGGACTTCTGCAAGACACGTTAGAAAATGTGGTTGTCGCACCAGACGACAAGGCTAACCTATTTAATGATTTCTTTGCCTCCATTTTCCTGAGCAGGGACCAGATCAGTCCATATGCCAGGACCCCCTCAGGCCCCGGGGGAGGTGCACCCAGCCCTAGGGTCAGTGAGGATCTAGTCAGGGAACTTCTGGAGGAACTGGACATATTTATATCAGCTGGTCCTGATGACCTCAACCCCAGAGTACTGAGGGAATTAGCAGAGGTCATTGCGGGACCCCTGGCATGGCTTTATGAGCACTCATGGTGCTTTGGTGTGGTGCCAGAGGACTGGAAAAGGGACAATGTGGTTCCCATTTTCAAAAAAGGGAGAAAGGAGGACCCAGGCAACTATAGGCCAGTTAGTCCTACCTCGATCCTGGGTAAGCTTCTTGAGAATATTATCCTGGCACATGTCCGCGAGGGGCCAGCAGGGGAGGTTATGCTTAGGGGCAACCAACATGGGTTCATTAGAGGCAGGTCCTGTCAGACCAACCTGGTGGCCTTCTATGACCAGGTCACAAAATCCTTAGACGCAGGGGTAGCAGTAGACGTAGTCTTTCTGGACTTCAGGAAGGCCTTCGACACTGTCTCTCACCCCATTCTCATTAAAAAACTAGGGAACTGTGGCGTCGATGCCTACACAGTCAAATAGGTTGCTAACTGGCTGGAGGGCCGCACCCAGAGAGTGGTAGTGGATGGGTCATTTTCGACCTGGAGGGATGTGGGCAGTAGAGTCCCCCAGGGCTCTGTCTTCGGACCCACACTGTTCAACATCTTCATCAGTGACTTGGACGAGGGGGTAAAAAGCACCCTATTCAAATTTGCTGATGACACTAAGATGTGGGGGGATGTGGGCATGCTAGAAGGGAAGAATAGGCTGCAATCAGACCTAGACAGATTACCGGGGTGGGCAGATGAGAACAGGATGGGTTTCAACACTGAGAAGTGCAAGGTACTGCACCTGGGGAGGAAGAACCAGCAGCATACCTACAGGCTGGGGAACTCCCTTCTTGTCAGTGAAGAGGCAGCAAAGGATCTTGGAGTCATCATTTATGCCACAATGAACATGGGCCGACAGTGTGGGGACGTGGTCAGGAAGGCCAACCACACCTTGTCATGTATCCACAGATGCATCTCGAGCAGGTCCAAGGAGGTGATCCTCCCCCTCTATGTGGCAGGCCACAGTTGGAGTACTGCATCCAGTTCTGGGAGCTGCACTTCAGGAGGGATGTGGACAGCATGGAGAGGGTCCAGAGGAAGGCCACCCGCATGATCAGGGGTCAGCAGGGCAGGCCCTATGAGGAGAGGCTAAGGGACCTGAACCTGTTCAGCCTCCACAAGAGAAGGCTGAGGGGGCCGTTTACAAACTAATCGGGGGGACCAGAAGGCATTGGGGGAGTCCCTGTTCCCCCGAGCACTACCAGGAGTGACTAGAAATAACAGTCACAAGCTGGCAGAGGGTAGATTCAGACTAGACATCAGGGCGGCTAGGACCTGGAACCAACTTCCAAGCGCAGTGGTGCTGGCTCCTACCCTGGGGGTCTTTAAGAGGAGGTTAGATGAACACCTTGCTGAGGTCCTTTGACCCAAGTACTTTTTCCTGCCCTGGCAGGGGGTTGAACTTGATGATCTGCTCAGGTCCCTTCCGACCCTACCAACTATGAAATCTTACATAGTAAACAGTTTACAAATGCAAAAGGTATACAGAACACTTTCTGAGATGAATAAGAAAAGTAGTACTGGTATATTCAAAAATTTAAAAAGAAACATAAAACAGCTTAGTTCTACAACTGACTTACCAGTCGTCTTCTCTCTTCTTCCACAGCAATCAGTAGTCGGGCAAACTCTTTCAGTGACTGGGCTGGGAAGAAATTGGGAGATCAAGTTAATATTAATGTTGAGCTCAACATGTCTTTTAAGTGAATGAGATAATAATACTTTGGCACTTATACAAAACTTTACACATGACATTGATATAATCATTCCTATTATATATATGGAGAACTGGAAGCACAGAATAATAAATTGATGCCAACAGAGCCAAGAAAAATCAGATTTCCTGAAGCCCCAGTCAAGTGGTTCTCTTATTAGTCCATGCTGCATCTCCTTGCACTTTTTCACAAATGTATCTACAAAGTGGGAAGGAAAAAGATATGGCAAAGGAAAGACAAGGGGTAGTGTCACAGGCAAGTTGTGTCAATAAATTAAATTCTGTTCCTTCTGTCCTATAAGCAGTCATGTATGCCAAGAAGTGATTTGGGTATGGACATATTCACAAAACAAAAATAAGAGATCTCTAAAAGAAAACACAACAAATAATATCCTACAATGGGGCAGGAACAAGTAATACTGAATCTATTTATAAATATATGCACCTTCACATACACATGCATGTACATTTGCACAGAAGGAAAACATCCTAGGAAAGAAAAGACTTGATTTCTTTTCATTTAAGGAGATTAAAAAGATCTACCACAAGAGTATAAGGAAACACTAAGAGGCAAACTCAATTCCAGATGAAGTCCATAGCTATAGCCATCTGTTTAGGCTTACTGAAATTTCTGTTTATGCTTACTGAAATTGAAAAGGATTACTGTCCTCCGTAACTTTGTGTCCCAGTAAGTGTGATTTGTGTGGACATGTGTTTCCAACAGAATGAGAGAGAAAGGGTGGATAGTTTATTTAAGGGTGATAGCAAAAAGGGTAGCAATGTGCAGGGAAAGATGGGAAAATACCTTCTTTATATATACATATTTTACTTGGATCAAGGAAAAAAGCAGTGTGATTTTTCCCGGAAATAAACAAAATTATACTTTGTTTCAAGATATATATTCACATTCTGTTTGCAGCCACTCTGGCACTACTTGCATGCATAAGAAGTCATAAATATAGCCAAAGATTAAGTACTTTGAAGAAAAGAGGTCTCTGTTTTCAAATCTCAGTTTATCTCTACTTTCTTTGAAAATTGTACAATAGCCTAAATTCTAGGTATTTACCTTCAGGAATAACAAAAAAATAGGAATAAAACCTAGAAACGCTACCCTTATATTTGTAGATCATAACGAAGTCTGTTTAAAACCACCATAACATCAACAGCTTATTTTAGAGGCAATTAGAGAGGGTAAATTCACATCTGTGTTGTGATATTACTGAGCTAGAAAACAGATATGTTTATAGAAACTATGATGCAACTGGAATTTGAAATAATATGCTGCATATTATGTAAATTAGTTTTCCTTTTCTATTTCGATCAAGTAAATCTGACTACTTCTGCCCACATTACAAACTACTGACACTGCACTACTGAATTCAAAAACATTTTTAAAAGGCAGTTGGCACCTTCTCAGAATAAATACATTTAACAAATTGTGCTTAACCAGCTACGTACATACGTACATATACATGCATATATACATATGAAACTGGTTTTGTAACTAGTCAAAGAGAGAGAGAGACTGACCCTATACCAAGGATAGGCAACCCCTGGCATGCACAACAATTAGTGAGACATTTTCCCTGGCATGCCAGGAGGCATGTGAAGAGACTATTTGAAAATATATATTTTTTAAGTTGCTGCTCTAAGCTCTGCAGAGCAGCCACAGGTCCTAGTGCTGTGGCAGGCACCAGGGGAGGAGTCAGGAGAACCTCTGTGTTCTGCTGACCCCGCCCCCTGTCCCTGGGCTGTGCCCTGCAGCCTGGCCTGGCTCCTGGAGGGGAACTGTGGGTGAGTGGAGCCAGGGCGCAGGCAGGCACTGTGCAAGACTAGTGCACTGGAGGTTCCCAATGAGTGGGCGAGTCCTGGGCCCAGCCGGGGCTTGGGCAGATAGACGCCCTGTCCCACCTGGGCAGGGACAGGTCCACAGGGATGGGACACAGCCACCCTGCCTGGGAGGAGACACTGCCTGGCTGGGGTAGGACACTGGACTTGTGGGCCTCCCAGCTCCGGGCTCGGCCTCCCTGCGGACCAGGCACAGCACGAGCAGGGAGAAGCTGCCCTCAGTGTGGGGGCCTGCACACAGGAACCAGTCAAGCCCCAGGAACAGCTGCTGCAGCCGCCCAGGCCTGCCTGGGCCCCAGCCTTGCTCACGTGCAGCTCCCCTCCAGGGGCAAGGACAAGCCAGGGCAGGCATTGCACAGGGCCACTGCGCTGTAGGCTCCCACCCGGCTTGGTCCAGGGGGCTGTTCCTGGGGCCCAGGGCGCTACTGCAGCTGGGTCCCCACATCAGGGGTGGCTCCACCCCATTTGCACTGTGCCTGGCACAGAGGGAAGCTAATATTATACTAAATGTATATCTTAGCTTTTGTTGTATTAAACTCAAATTTTATTTAACATAATTTATTAACACATAATGCTTTAAATAACATTTTAAATCAAAAAAAATGATTTAGAATTTAAAAATCTAATTTTTAATTTAAAAATAAATCAATTTTTTTTATCCACAATGTTTGATAGACTTTTCATCCTACTAGCCCTTCCACTGCATATATTTCAATTGAAATCAACTTTCTTAAACAGGGGAGATCACATAGTATTTAAGAAGTATTTTGCAGAGCTGCTGACCATCGTCTTTGAAAATGCACAGTGATTGGGAAAGGTCTTGAACAGATGGAAAAGGGCAAATAAAGTGCCCATCTTTAAGAAAAGGAAGGAGGATCCAGAGAAGTACAGCCCTGTCGGCCTCACCTCAGTCCCTGGAAAAAATTGTGTAGCAGGTCCTCAAGGAATCCATTTCTAAGCACTTGGAGATTAGGAAGAGCCAGCATGGATTCACTATGGGCAAGTCATGCGCCTAACCAACCTGATTGCTTTCCATGAAGAGACGACTGGCTCTGCGGAGGTGAGGAGACCAGCAAATGTGATATACTTTGATTTGACCCAGGCTTTTGATACAGTCTCCCACAACATTCTCTCAAGCAAGCTAAGGAAGTATGGATTGGATGAACAGACTATGAGGCAGACAGACAACTGGCTGGATCATTGCGCTCAGAGAGTATTAGTCAATGGCTCAATGTCTAGCTGGCAGCCAGTATCAAGTGGAGTGCCCCAAGTGCCCCAAGGGTTGGTGCTAGGGCCAGTTTTGTTCAGTATCTTCATCAATGACCTGAAAGATGGGATGGAGTGCACCCTCAGCAAGTTTGCAGATGACACCAAGCTGTGGATGTGGGGAAGTAGTAGACACACTGCTGGAGGTTGGGGCATATGACTTCTGAGGACAGGCTGAGGAAACTTGGCTTAGTCTGGAGAAGAGAAGACAGAGTGGGGATTTAATAGCAGCCTTCAACTACCTGAAGGGTGGTTCCGCAGAGGATGGAGCTAGACTGTTCTCAGTGGTGGCAAATAAGAGAACAAGGAGCAATGGTCTCAAGTTGCAGCAAGGGAAGTTTAGGTTGCATATTAGGAAAAACTCTCACTAGGAGGGTGGTAAAACACTGGAACAGGTCACCCAGAGGTTGTGAAATCTCCATCCTTGGACATTTTTAAGACCTGGCTAGACAAAGCCTTGGCTGGGATGATCTAGTCGGAGGTGGTCCTGGCTTTGAGCAGAGGGTTGGACCAGATGACCTCCTAGGGTCCCTTTCATCCCTAAGTTTTTTATGATTCTAAGTCTCATGTCTTCTGTCTCTACTGGAAATACCCGATACATTCTAGGATAGTGGGCGCATCTACATGACATGTTTATTGTGGTGTTGTTTACTTCTGAGTTTATTAGGCAACTCAGCATCTACACATACAGCCCTAATTAGGCTGTAGGATGCTAATAAACTCCACAGCAGGATAGTACTTGTAAATATAAGTACTATTCTGCTGTGGAGTTGATTAGTTTCCTGTAAATACAAGTGCTATCCTGCTGCGGAGCTTTTTTGTGTGTAGCAATGGACATATAGACACTGACCCAGCTAGCCCTGCACTGGAGCACCCTCGTGCCTCAGCCAGCCTCTCCACAGCACACTGAGCCAGGGTGGAGCAGTCCCAAGCTAGCAGGCTGACCCCGTAGACCACCCACCAGCCCAGGAGTAGCGGAATAGCAGCCCTATGCCACCATGGCAAGGCCCCCCAACCTGCCTGGCAGCAGCAGGGGTGGCAGTGTGGAATTGTGCCCCACCCCCCCACCTACTACCAGGCAGGCAGAGGAGCCTTACTATGGTGGTACAGGGATCCCAGCGCTAGCACTGAGCCTCCCCACCCCACTCTACTCTGCCAAACTGGGTCCTGCCCACTGGGCCATGGAGGCCCCAGTGGGGGAGGGCAGCAGGGTAGGGAAGCCCTGAGCCCACAGCTGCCAGCCCTCATCCACGCCCCCCAACATGGGCTCTGCTTCTGCTGTGCAGCCCATGGGGGTGGGGGAGCAAGACTCTGCACTCTACTCAGCAGCTGCTGCCTCCCATGGGCAGCATCCAGGGCTTGGGTGCAACTGGGGGAGGCAGAAGACTACAGACCTGGGTCCTTGGCCCAGGTCTGCCCTCGTATCACACACAAATGTTCTCCCCATGACTCTTCCAGGAGTTCACGCACTGGCAGGAAGCCAGCTCCCCCCACCACCTGTCAGATCTGTCAGCCTGCAAGGGAAAACCCACCATTTTTTCTCAACAAGAGAAAGTTCATGGTTTCTCCTCAGGGAAGACAAGTCCATGTTTTTCTCTTGGGACGGAGGAGAGAGAACATTCTGTGCTTTTCTCCTTAAAGGGAGAACATTCCGTATGTTTCTCCTCAAATGAGACAATCCACATTTTTCCACAGCAAACAGAAAACTTGGATCCCTGATTATTACCCTACTGAAATTGAGACAAAGTAATCCTTTGCATTTAAGGCATACCAGAATGATCATTTAATCTCTTCTTCTCCAACCTCAGTACAAAGTG